CCCCTTCCTCCCCTTCCTCCCCTTCCTCCACTCCCCCTCCTCTTCTTTTTTATCTTCAGAAGTTTCTTTTTTGTGAGTGTGTTTTTGGGAAGATAACAGGTTGTATGCTATCTGTAAAAATTGCCTAGGCAACAATTACAGCTACTGTTGGCAGTTTTGTTTGTTTATTTTTTTTCTAGAATTTAGAGGTACAAGCAGCATGTTACAGTTAAGATAGATCTGCAACACTAAGTGCGACAGGTGTCTACATTTTGAAGCAATTTCCATTGGCATTTTTCATTAGAGGCAACTGGAGGAAACAGACTGGTGATTACAGAGGTTGTTTCTTGTATGTTTTATTTTAATAAAGGAGAGGAGAAAATGAAGAACCTCTGTGTTCAACTCTGAAATGAATGGCTATATTTGTTCTCAGATTTTAGAGGAGTAAACTAGCTTTTTAATTCAAGGGATGCAGACTAAAATTAGTTTTGGTAAAATGATTTTAATTAATGGGACTTATAATTTGCTGAATTGAAATATGTACTATTTTATGCTTAATACTCATTCTGAATGTTTTTGTTGGTGGTGTTTTGATTTGTTTTTTAATGATACAGGAGGAAATAGCCAAAGACCTCTTGTCGGGTGATGATGAAGAAACACAATCTTCTGCTGACGACTTGACGCCATCAGTTACTTCGCACGAGGCTACAGACTTCTTTCCTCGACCATTAAGATGTAGGAAACCTTATGTTATAATAGAACTCAATACAATCATATATAAATTTTTAGCTTAAAATATAGAAAAAACAGAATACTGCTGATTTTACTGAGAGTTTAGGAAGAGTGCTTTGCATTATATTCTGTATGGATGTTGTCTGTGGTTATTGGAACAGGCTGCCCAGAGAGGTTGTGGAGTCTCCTTCTCTGGAGATCTTCAAAACCCACTTAAGCCGCAGTCCTGTGCCACGTGCTCTAGGTGACCCTGCGTGTGCAGGGGGTTGGACTAGATGACCTCTAGAGGTCCCTTCCAATCCTAAGCATTCTATGATTCTATGATTATTAATATCTCCTCAAATACAGTAACTTTCCATAATTAATACTTAGTGTGGTGTTGAGGGACACACTCCATGATTTTTGATATGTTACTGAATGTCATGAATATGTAACCATTCTCTTAAGTTAGTGTTCCTGTACTAAAACTATTGCTCCTATTTTTAAGCTAGTGGTTCCTCCATTCAGTCTGAGGACATGAATTGGGCTGTGATTTCTCTGGGGTATTATTTCCCTTCACACATACAACACCATTCCACTGGACCTCATTGTGGTATTTTATGGGATTGGGCCCAAGAACCCAAGACCACCAAAGTTTCACCACCCATGGAGCTATTATGGGCAAGATCTAAGAACCAGGAGTGCAGTTATCCAGCCTGGGCCAGGTATTTCTATGGCAGTTGCATAAGTCAGTGGTGTCCTGGAATTAAAGCAATAAACAGGACTTCCTAATGGTTTTAATTTGAAAAGTATCTTAAGCCATTTCTGTCAGCTCCTCATTCTTCCAGAGAAGAGGGATGATAGAGGGGACATGCTACCTGAGTCAACTCCAGCTGCAGTCCTTTCCATTCTGATGATTATGTAGTGTAAGATATTCATATATAGAGAGGGATAAAAAAAAAAAAAAAGGTAGATCTGTGACTGTAGGAATGACTACAGAAGAAAAGCATCAGTTCCCACAATCTAGAATGTTGTTTCTGGTGTTGACTCTTCTGGTTAGTCACGAGAGAGAAGTTAAAATTTCAGCCACATTTGTGTCTTATGCATTCTCAAACTTCAGTAATAAGAACTTCAATATTATCAGAACTGTAGATTTCATTTTATTGAGGATTATAAATCTGTAAAAAAAAAAAAAAAAAAAAGGTAACTTCAGAACCTGATACCGCAGCATTCCAGAGACTAAAATACAAATCACTGAGTGAAGTACTGCCTTAAGTTACTTAAAATGTTCTGTTGTCTTTCTACACACACACACGCACACACACGTAAAGAGGAGTAAGCAGGCTGCTGTACTTTGCTTGATGCGTTTTGTATATCTATGCTGTGTCTTCATGTTGAGTGTCTATTAAAGTCTCTAGTTAGAGGTTTTGTTAGGTAATATATACTTGCCTTCAACATTACTTTCATTGTGATTAACTGGGGCAAAATGACAGCCCTGGCCTTACAATTCTGTTCTCTTGCACCTTTTATGTAAAGTATAAGCTGTTATTGAGGGGAAAAATGATGAAGAAAAGTTGTCTTATTTCCTTTTGACTATTAGAAATATACTAGACTCAGGTGCAGTGATGATAAATGTTTTGGTTTTGCAGTATGTAAATAGCATGAAATAAAAAAAGTACTGCTGTAGTTTGATGAAAATGTAGATGAACAGAATCTGAAGATTCTGGATCAGTGTTTCCGTGCATAAAAGCAGGTGCTCCTTTCAAAAGTAAAACAAACAACACCCCCCCCCCCACACCAAAAAAAAAATCCTAGTTAAAAACCCACTTCTTTATATGTCTGAAGCAAACACTACATGTGATGGAGATAAGGAATCAGATGGTGAAGATGTTGAGGCAGACAATGGCAATTCATCTGAAGATTTGAGAAAGGTAATAAAGTATTTTACTTTTTTTTGTAGAAAGTTATTATTAAATATATATAGTACATATTGTTCTGGAGAATACAGTACATATATAGTACATATTCTGGAATTCCATGGTATGTGACAAGTTATATGACTTTTTTTAGTGTTTCCGTGCATTAAATTAAGCTTTATTTTTGTTTATTTTATCTTCAGGAAATAATGGTTGGTTCACAGTATCAGGCTGAAATTCCTCCTTACCTTGGCAGATACAATGATGATGAAAAGGGTAAGTTCTTAAGATTAAAAAAAAAACTTTTATTTTTATGTTTATACACAGCCTTTAATGAAAAAATATATATTTTTTTAAATTGTAAGGTAGAAAGTCACTGGCTTAATTAAAGTTCTGTATATTAAGAGCACCATTAAAGAAGTGTTAGAGAACTGAAGAGACACAATCAGATAATTATTTCTCAGAAATACTATTCTAAGACTTTGAGAGGAGATTTTCAAGAAGACATCGGAGAATGGATGGGAATACAACTTTAGGTCTGAAGTATCCGGTAATTTTTAGGAGGCAACCATCAGAATGGGTTGAGAAGGAAATATTTTCCTCAGAATATCATAACCCGGCTAAAGGCATGATGTACATTGAAAAATCTTCAAAACGGTGTTATTCTTTGCCTGGTATAGGCCAAAGCCAGAACTACTTGTGTAGGTTTCAGAATAAATATGAAGAACATAAAAGCAATAAACCGTTATAAAATTTCATAGCCCAAGCAGGAGGTTCAAGTCCTGTGATGTTTTGTGTTTTATAAAGTACAATGTTATAATTATGATGTTATTTGTATATTTTGGGTTAAAAATGTTAAAAATATTGTAAATTTGGGTTAAAAATGCAATTGTGTCAGAGTGGGGAAAAAAAGAGCTTTTAGTATTATGTATCTTTAAAAGTCCTCACTGTTAGGAAAAGCATAGCACATACAGCTGTGAGGTTCAAAAAGTAGGCACTGAAAGTAATTTGCTTATGGGTGAAACAGCCATGAAATGAAGAAACAATTTTGGAGATATATTAATAAACAAAGAGAACATTGAAAACTTAACAGAAAAAATAGAATGCCCTAAATTGCCTGTTTTCCAACTGTAACATTTTATGAGAGTATTAATTTAGTTAAACATATCAAGCCTTTTCACCATTTTCCACTGCTTTTCAAATAATAATCCTTTGCAATAGAGAAAAACAAAGTTTAGGCTACAGGAGCAAGATGAACATCTCCTGTGTTCCATAAAGAACATAGGATAGTTTTGCTGTTTTCTGAAATTCGAGCTTTGTGCTTAGCTATCATAAGAAGTGCTCGTTGTCTTGTTTGATAAAGGAGATTGAAGCTGAGCTTCAGGAGTGCTCGGAGAGGTTGCACCTCCCTGAACATGTGGAGGTGCTGTGTTTGGAACAGTGGGCATCCTGGCATAAGCAGCCTTGGGAATTTTAGACCTGCTTGGCATTGAGAGAGAAATCTACCCTTCTGTGTGATGGTGATTATGTGAAAGATTCTTCTGTACTCCATGAGGAGCTGGTGATACCTGATGTTAATACATTTCTCTTTTAACAGCCTATGAAAATGAAGACCATTTACTTTGGAAACCTGATGTGATCTCAGAAAGCAAAGTTAAGCAGTACCTTTTTGAAGCCTCTTTAAGAACAGGAAATGAGAAAATGATTGGCAGAATTCCTGAAGGAACACATACACGGGACAATGAACAAGTATGTTTTGTATTCCTGCTCCATTTGTGACACAGTGATTTGTAATTACCACATGTTCTTTTTCTTTGGTTGTATTGTAAGGGCTACAATATAGAACTTTTTTTAATTAGAGGTTAATGAGGTCAGTCTTATTTGTAATTTTAATCTTGTAGTTAAGCTTATGGGTATTTGAACGTTGGCAGCACTAAGGTGCGTTCTTACTATTGCCATGTTCTTAACAAATCCAACTTTTAAATAATTGCATATAATATTTTACTTTGTTTCAACTTTTGGATGGTTTTCTTTTTGCCTTTTTTTTTTTTTTTTAAACTTTCATCGTGTATAATAATAAATTACCTATTTTGACATGAGGTATGCTGCCTGAAAGGCTAGTTTCCGAAGTTTAGACTGGTTATTTGCAAACTTTGATTGTTTAAAAAGACTTTCTTCTATTTCGTAGGCACTCTATGAACTTCTCAAAAGTAGCCATAATGTTAAAGAAGCAATTGAGAGATACTGTTCAAATGGAAAGGCATCTCAGGGTAAGAGAGAGAATACCTGATTTTTCAGAAATGTGTGTTTGAAAGATAAATGCATGTAATAATAAATAAATAAAACTTAGGTAAGAATTAGAATGACAAGCTTATCCCTTTGCGTGATGCTTTTGGCACAATTAAATATATTCTGACTAATGACCAGCTGGAAATTCCTGCTAGAGAAATTTGCAACTTGTATAAAGGTTGCAGGGTCAGCTTTTAGACCTTTTACCCCTTCCTTTCTTCCACTGCTGTTGTGAGAACTGGGATAGATGGCACAGATTGAGGAGCAAGAGAGGGGAGCTATGATTTTGTTCATACGAGGCATCCATATTACACTATTTTTGAGATCGTGGTCAATTGCAATCTAGCAATATTTGCACCAGAATAAGGAAAAGATACCTGCCTATATAAGTAAGTCCTGTTTGCTTCCACGCTGCACAGGTACTGCAGTGTGCTGTTAGTACATTCAGTTGTTCCAACCTAAATCGGGTCCTTCATATAGTTCTGCAGGTCCTGAGTTTGAATTTACAGTAGAAAATGAACTTCTGTCTCTAACTATTATTTCCTAAAGTGAAGAATAGAGTTTACCATTTATCAAAGATGGGGTTTTGACCAATGTTCTACATATACATGTTGCATAAAACTGAAGTGAACTCTGAGTCCTCATAGAAATAGTGTAGCAGATTCCATGTAGCACTGGATGCAGAGGGGGTTTGAGTGCTTACTGCATAGGTGCTGTGAGAGCCAAGTGGCTATGGTACAGCTGAAGGGGACAATATGTAGCAGGTAATAGTGTTCCAGGAGGCTCATGTGTGAGAAGAGATTGTGCAGAGCTGAACAGCAAAGAAATACCAGTCGCAAGGATCTCTCTGAAATCCCAAACCTCTCTATCTCAGAGTCCTGGGTCAGGACCAAAAAGTACCTCTATCCATTTGTGGTTCAGAGCCCCAGATTCTGTCTTGAGGACTGGTACTCACAGTTCAGAAAAAAAGTCAAACAGGCCTTAAAATATCTATGTTAAAAGGGGTAATGGATGATAATGCTGGCAGTGCCTAACTTTTAGGGTAACCATTATGCTATGACTGTCGCTAGCCACTTAAGTTCAGTGCTGTTCTCAAACTGAGAGATCAAATCCATATTACTGGAGAGATCAAATCCATATTACAATCCCCTTAACTGGGAGACTTTACATGGGGATCTGTTCTTTTCTTTGGAGCTGGAGAACTCTGTAGAGAAGAGTGCAAAATCCATGGGGTGAGAAAAAATGTTTTTGTAGCTTAGTGATCATCATCTTCATGTGGCAGCAGTATCCACTTCCAGAAATGTTTAGAAATGATGTGGGCTTTTTTTCCCCATTGACTTTAAATGTCAGCTGAACAGAAACTTTTTATCACCCCTATGAATTTAAGATGACTGAAATATCCCTCCTTTATTATATCCAGGAATAAAGCCATAATCAAGGTGCGAAAGCTAGAATAGTTGAGACAAAATTGGCCTTTTCATATAATTTAAGCTATTTTGTCATAAAGCATATTATGAAATGCTGTGACCATGAAATAAATTAGCCCCTTGTTGATTCCTTCCTTTTGTGTGTTTTCAATTGTAAAATTGAAATTCAATTTTAGAAACTATAATTAAAACCAATTGATGCTTTACACTTTTTTTTCAATGACAGTTTTTGTTTGGATCCTCTGTAAGAAGAAACATTTCAGAAAAATAATCTTTATTTTGATGCCATTTTTTCCTCAAATCTTGGATTTTCAATGGCAAATTTATTTAAAAAGGAATAGGAAATGAACTATGGTCTCTGGACTTGCCCATCAGAGATGTTACAAAGACTTATAAGAGATTGTGTTTTCTAAACAAGAATGTAATATTTTAAGTAGGGTATCTGTGCAGTAGAGGAGAGAACATAGTTCCAAACTGAGCTATTGTTCTTTTTACAGTGCATTTGGATTTTCATGCATTAGCAGCACAAATATTTTATTCTGTTTCTCTAAAAGGTGAGCTGGTGAAAGTAAGCTTATTGTATTACTTTTGTAATTGTCTAGAAGAGATGACAGCATGGACAGAAGAAGAATGCAGAAGCTTTGAGCATGCACTTCTGATTTATGGAAAAGACTTTTATCTCATACAGAAAGACAAGGTAAGTGGAAGAGTTGGTAGAGGATGTAATGCCGAAAATCTGCTAAAGCAGTGCACGTCAGAAGCCATGGTGAAGAATGAGAAAAGATGCAGCATATTACAAGCAACTTGTTATTTCTGTGCTTTTTTTTTTCCTCATGTGTCATTGTAAAAGATGGGAATTGCAAGATGAGTCAATATTTTCTCTGAAATCTACTCATGTTCATTTATGAATTTATACTGTAATTCAGTTTAAAGGCCGGCTTCTCCTAGAAATAGTATATAGTATTTGCATACAATGACTGTGGGAGGGAAAAATGAATCTTTATGTAACCCATTTTTGGTTAGTCACCAGAGAGGTGTAATTCTGCAGCAAGAGGCTTGTGTCTGTTTTCCCAAACAAAGTTCTGTAGCCACCAGCACTTCAGTGTTGCTAAGGAAGGAGTCCTGATCTTCATCTGGGTTGCTTCTGATTGACTCTGCTCTCCTTGAACACCAGGGATTGTGTTCTTTATCAAAAATCTGTGTCATTTGCTGTAGTTGACAGCCTATTTAAATGGATGTTTCCAAATTTTCTGTACATTGCCTTTACCTTTTTTTATATGTTCTTGAGTTTTATCTTTAGGAGACTAGCCTTTTTGTCATATTTTAGGTAACATTTAATAGGGTTGTGGCTGCTGTAGGAACAAAAGTCAGCTAATTCTGCTGTCTGAACCCATCTTAGGGCGAACGTTTGCATCATTCCAATTTTAAATGAAACATATTAATAAACAGTAATTCAGCAGAGATGTCCAAAAAGGACTTAACTATTTTTTACAAGGTGTAGTAAAGCACATGAGTTAATGTTAAGATTCTTTATTAGATCCAAGGCATTTGGACTTTGCCTCTGATGGTTTTATCAGTTTGATCAAACTCTTAACATAAACAGTTTCCTGCCAGACTATCTCTGAATATAGTTGTATATTCTAGCTTACAATAAAACTTATGCTAGAACTATGGCCTGTTGATGAACTGAAATATTTCTGGAGCTCAGGATGGCTATTTCGTAAGGATGTAGTAATAGTTTGTTCTCTAAGAATCTGGTTTTGTATAGCAATCTCCATTTTGGGGAATGAAACAAATGGTTAATGTAGGTTAAGTTATAGCTGCTCACAAGACTACAATTTTATGTTGTTGTTTAAATCATTTACTCATGTGCATGTTTGTTGTCAGAGTTTCAGCAGTTCCTCACTTTACTAAAAGGAAAAGTGCTTGAAGTCTTTCCTGCTTTATTTCACTTAGTTTGTTGATTTGCTGAGTTTCTTCTTTAAAGTCTGTGGGTGTAGTATTTCAATTCATAACCTACGTAATTTTATACTTCATGTGTATATATGATGTTTATTTTTGTACATAGACCTAAGTTAGTACAATGGAACAGCTGTAATAAATACCCGAAACTGTAGATCTCTTTAAAAATCTTGTAACTGGATCAACTTTGTCCAGTTCCTAGCGTAGTAAAGCTAACGGTATTCTGGGAATATGGAGAATGGGAAGATGACAAAAATTAATTTTTGGCATTTATTTTGTCAACTCTTGTTGCTTCCTTTAGGTAAGAACAAGAACAGTTGCTGAGTGTGTGGCATTTTACTACATGTGGAAAAAGTCAGAACGTTACGATTACTTTGCTCAGCAAACAAGATTTGGAAAGAAGAGATACAACCATCATCCAGGAGTTACGTAAGTAAAAAGTTCATGGAATATGTGTTTCCTGTTGTAAATTGTTACAGAAGATTATGATCGCTTCGAAATTTAACAGTGTAAAGGTGCATTGGCAGCAGCAGCTCAAACCCATCTTCATTTTAGGCCTTCTTTTCATGTTAAACACCCATTATAAATGCAGTGTTCTCCTAGGGACTACATGGATCGTTTGTTAGATGAAGCAGAAGCACTTGGAGGAGCAGTCCACTCTTCAGCATTGACGTCCAGCAACCGAGCAGAGGTCATCCCGGATCAGCAGCTAAGCATCCTGAACTCTATCACTGCCAATGAGCTGACAGGTAAAGTGAGAAAAAGAATCAAGTGCTAGGTACTATTTCTTACTTGTAACTACGTAAGTGGCTTTTGCTTATGTTTGTGTTTGTCTCCTCTCCAGTGCTGACCAACAGTGTAGCTACAGTCTGCCATCCTTCCAATGTGAACTGCCTGGATGATGCCTTTCCTCCTATGGACAGCTTGCCCCGAGCACCAGTT